AATAAGATACCTAGAAGCCTTTAAAAATTCAGCGGCAACACCATCTGGCCCTGGGGACTTATTATTCGCAACATGGACTATGTGGTGCAAAACTTCTTCCTCAGTAATAGGATCATCAAGCCCTTCTGTTCGCTGACTTGAAATAAACAAATCGCCATCTTCATCTGAGCTGAAAGAGCTGCACTGCCCTCCCCCAAGTCGAGACATGTAGTGATTAACCCACTGCTGATTTGTAATTGACTGAGAAATAGGGGAATTAGCCATTTTCAGAATCTTCCAAAATAACTTAGAGTCTTTGCTAGCATCGACCAACTTGGTTTTTTAACATAATGGTTTGGGATATAAGTCTTCCGATGATGTTTGAAGAAAGGGCAGACAGAAATGTAGTGAAATTCATCGCCAACATAACACGTGTCGCAGAGGTTACACATTCTTTCTCCGAGTCGAATTTTGGGCCACCTATCTACTTCTATAGGTAAACGATGGCAGGAAGTTCTAAACAAGAGAAAATTAAGAGCCAAGGAGAAAGGGATATATGTGAGATACTTTTAAAGACAAGTTCAGATTTGTATGCGCGATACAAGGTACCCTTAGAAGCATTCGAAATCTCTGCGCGCCATGTTTGGGTTGCTATATCATGTAACCGAAAGGAGATAATAGTTTTAATTTCATTGGGAAAGACAGCCTGTTGACTTAGCAAGTAGAAGCTATAGCCAGTTTCATTAAAAACGGCTTCCTCGGATTTTATCCATTTTTGGTTGCTTTTGTTTATACAGGCTTCATGATATAACATTTGGTATAAATTTTTGACAGCTTTTGTTCTTTACCAGATAGGAGTCTAGCCCAGAAACGATCCATACGACATTTGATAGAGTTATTAAGGGGTACCATTCCGATATAGTTATCGATATAGCATGTATAATGGCGTGCTTCTCTTAACTTAAGTAATTTGCGTAACGGATTCTACAGATTTACAGTTTTGAAACCCCCAGATTTCGCAGCCGTATACCAGAATTGGCTTAACCATGGCACCAAAGAGATATAGTTGGCATTTTATTGAGAGGTTAAATATGTGACCTTTCCGCAGAAAGAAATACCTTCTTTAGTAGCAGATTTGCAAAGGGTTTTATAGAGGTTTTAAAAGAATTATTGCTTGTAAAATGGAGTTCACATCCCAATACTTCCACAGCTTATAACAACATTTCTGGTTGACTGCACACACTTTAGCATACTGATTACCTCAGTCTGTAATGGTTTAATCCATTAATCAGTAATGAATACAAACAATCACTTGGTAATAAATCATATATTTTATTAAGGCAGGGTTATTAACAAACATACATTTTGTTTCTAGTTACATATCACATTGAAATAAATAGTAGTCTATGTAGAACATTTACATGGAGCAAAGACAAGTGGATATGAAGATGATCCAGACATCGCATGTATGATATAAACTTGATCCCAATAATCGGGGCAAGCTGTGAACGTCCCATCCATGTAGATTGTTTCAGGGAAATGCAGGGTCTCCAATTGTTCTTCTGTGGAAAATGCAATATCGCATGTATGATATAAACTTGATCCCAAAGGTCGGGTCAAGCTGTGAACGTCCCATCCATGTAGATTGTTTCAGGAAAATGCAGGGTCTCCAATTGTTCGTCTGTGGAAAATTCAATAATCCTATCCTGGTCACCATCACTGAACATCACTGAACAGCCAAAAGGGTCTAATGTCTCTGTAAATGTTCCTTCAATATGTGCTTAACCTCTGGTCTGTGGAAGAACCGGTAGATTCCTTTTACTGTGTCTGTAAAGAGCACTGTACATCGACTGAAAGGAAGGCAAGTGATGGACAAGTTCTTCGTCTTGCTTTGCCACTTCATCATCATACAAAGAATGCATCTGTGTAATTTCTTCTCGGACCCTCTTCTTCATGTTGCTTATGAATCTGACCTTCTTGGAATCTTTTGGGGGATGGAAGCTTTCGGTAGAAATCCTCACAAACTCGCTTACAGTGGTACATCTCGCCTAACACTTTGTATTGAACATTTCCAATGCGTCTTACAACATGCCTGTTGTACAAATAGGCATTCACATGGATCTGCTGCTTTCCTTCCTGAGACAACTTCACTGTCATTAAACCTGCCATGGTGATGAAATGAAGTACTTTCAACATCTTAGAATGACTTTATATCTACTAAATCTCTACTCTGCTACGTCTCTACTACTCTAGTGTTTCCTGTTTAGGACCTTAAAGTTCCCAAGTTCCCTATATACAATTACACCTAAAAAGGACATTACAAGAAAAACAATCAGGTGATGTATCATTATCTGTTGTTTCATTTCAGGGCACTTCCTGGGCTATCCCATTACCTAAAAAGGGGAGATGAGGACTTGTTGTTTTAACAATGTGTGGTAGTATTGGGATGTGGAAGTTTTGGGATATATACGTCCTAACGGCAGCATCTGCCATTCACATAATTGGCCTAAAAATGGAGGCATTCTGCCGTGCGACGGCGGCCTGTATACAAACCAGCTGCATGTAGTAAAGACAGACAGACAGACAGTTGTATTCAATATAAAGGCCACTGGCCCAAAATACAAGTCATTTGTCATTGAATAATTAAAGCGCACATAAGATATGTAATTAACGAATACAGGATTTCCTGATTTTTGCTGACACATTTCAAATAGTTACAGAATGATGCCATCATATTTATGTTTCTATTGCTAACAATATTAACCAAATTTTGTTGGTTATCAGAACATTTGACAAAAGGGGAAATAAACTTATTTCTTGGTTCATCATACAATTTACAAACAAAATGTGAATTTCATCTTCAACAGATATTATATTATTGCTTCTACAGAAAATGCAAAGTCATTCTTCAATTGGTATAACCAGGTAGTAAAGTGATCGATGAACCAGAAAATCCAATCAGAAAATTTTGAATTATAACTGCTGTGGAAAAGTTCACAGATTCCAATGCTTTTGACTAAATGTTGTATACAGCTTGAGTGGTTAAGTGATTTTGCCACAAATACTGAAACCTGTTCATGAGCTCCACAGGTTATAGTTCCATCTTGTTTTATATTAAGGTCTTAGTTTGGGTATGTGTATTTTTTCCCTCATGCTGATGACTAGTTTAAGCAAATTATCCCATTGCTTTGATTATTTACGATGGAAGCTTTGTCCATCTCTCACAGCATTGTTCCACATGATTCAAGGCATCATCAGTTTCATTGTGACATCTGTCATCGTGTCCCAATATATCGATGCTCATGATGTTGATCGTGATTGTCTGTTCCAGGCTCGATTACTTATTGACTGACGTCATAAATGCTGAGTGCGGCGTTAAACACATGCGAAAATCAAAGGTGAATTTCTGTGACGTCATTCAAACAGAACAATTTTCAATTTTCTCAGAAAGAACGGCTATTGTTAACACGAGGCGGAACCTAATTGATGTTTTTAGATTGCTTCTGTTAAACGTCACTGCCCAGGCAAATACCATTCATGACGATGATCTGTACTTTCTGCAATCTCTCCAGTCCCTCTCCAAGACTCATTAGTCTACACAGACTACACGATCAATATGTAGATATAAGTTGTTCACTAGTCTCGAGGGGGACATGGGCTAATGAACCGTCGATGTTTGTTTTGTTCCCTGAGCCCGAAGGGCGAGGGGAACATAAAGAAACGTCGAGGGTGCATCAACCCATGGGCCCGAGGGACCAGTGAACAACGTACCTATCGTACCGAACACCTCAATGGTAATTTTGAACTGCTTGAAGCACGGGTATCGGATCATAGTATGGAGTACCAGACGACAAGACGACAAGAAAAACAAAGTTAGAGTTATCTCCATTCAATCGATTTGCATTCGCAAAATATCGGTAATTTCCGTACATCATACGTGATTCAATGTTATTCGAGATAAAGAATAACTAATACGAAGTACCAAATGAGTTCGGCATTCCCAGCGCGGTACACAGAAAATGTTACTCGCTTGTAAGCGGGGTACGTTGAAAATAATAGAAGAGCGCTCAGCCAATCAGAAAACGACATTTATATGTGAGGCAAGATAATATCCCAATTATCATTAATATATATCCCTGTAATGTCGTTTGAGCAACAAAGTACATGAAATCTGTATAATTTTGTTTAACGCTGCATCAAGCAAAATTCTGGCTATGTCAGGGAAATTTGTATTTCATTGAGTCTGGACCAGTAAGTCTAGTGACTTACACCAGGAGCATCGATGTCAGTGAACCGGAGTATCCAATCTCATTAGGTGACTATTACAAGAAGCTGAGGATGAAGTTGACAAACTATTACCAGGATGTTCTAGTTGATACCAGACATTGGTAGCATTTGTTAAAACAAAAAATGTAACTTCATTCGTTAATAAATATATCGGATCCACTGCAATAACAACGGATCAGAATACTGCTTCAAGACGCTCGGCATTCAGCATATATACTCAAATATGACCTGCATAAACATTGAGCACTAACCTAGACAACCCATGGAAACTGTTAAAAACAGATATATGCGTACAATTTTCAAAATGAAATACGCAAATATGCATGTTGTAACTTCAGATAACATTTATTTGTGTTAAACATTTGCGCTATATATGAAGCAGAGTCACATTTCTCCGTGTGTGTGTCTGTCTGTCTGTCTTTGAATCATCTCAGAATATTTGATTATCGAAAACCATAACAGTATATTAATCATAACTGTATATTTCGCTTTAGTGAGGTTATAGAATGAACCTTTGGCGATGTATTATAATTGCTCCTATCCACAGAATGTGACGTTCGTGGTATTGCATCTACTTCTAATCACATTCTCGCCTGCATTATATCAAACTGATATGCATCAGCGCGTCATCGGGACGTGATACAACCAGCAAACAATTTCTTTTGATTAAACAGCTGTTCCCATGAATCATGAAAGTGAATTTAATTTACGCGCTTCATTCCATGGGTTACATCAGAGTGCAGTGGCTGCTATAACCAGAAGAGGGAAAGTCTGATCTTTTGTTCACCAAAGCTGAGTGAGTATTGACATTCAGGTTAGAACAGGTACCAAGTATCCTTTGTAGACAAGTGAGTGAGTTTGGTTTTACGCCGCTTTTAGCAATTATTATTCCAGTAATATCACGGCGGGGGGACACCAGAAATGGGCTCCACACATTGTACCCATGTAGGGAACCGAACCCGAGTCTTCGGCGCGACGAGAGAACGCTTTAACCACTAGGCTACCCCACCGCCCCCCTTTGTAGACAAATATATCTTAGGATATTCATTTAATTATTTAATTGCAGTTTGACAGCAAACATTTACTCATATACTTATAACCTGACGTAATCAATATTCGCGCACCTAACGGTATTCGGCGCGGTATGCGGAATTACCAAGGCATATGAAAATCAACAATTATGCAAACCTTTATCAATATAGAATGTTCCTAAAAACATAAGTTTCAGCCTTTGACACATCGCTATCGTAGCGGGAAGAAACCATCATCCACACGACAGTATCAAGGTCAGTTGTACGCTATGTCATCAATATTGGTGATAGCTAAAATCCGGACAAACACTATGGTGCACAGTTTACGCCAACATCTGATAACGATGTAATATTGAAGTTCCTGTCTCACAGTGCTGATAAGAAGGTTTTTGCCAGGAATTGTTCAGAATTGGTACGTTTTCATCTATTTTCATAACAAAACGCTTTTAAACTAGTAAAAGTTCCAGTAATCTTGAATGAATAGTTCACAACAGCAAAAGTCAACAGATGATAATTTGAAGTCAAAGTTGAATGTCACATAATTAACAAGTGAAAATTGTCACAGTTTCATTCCTCTATCTGTAAACATGGCACATCGTGGTATAGGCATTAGAAAATATCCTTTCTTGAAAGTCTTTTTACTGCACAACAATATATTTGAGTGAGTGAGTGAGTTCAAATTTAACGTCACCTCGGCCATATTTCAGCCATATAGTGACGAGAAATATTGGGCATACACAATAAATACAAGTAGGTAAAAAAACAGTCATCGACGGACTGCAAAATAACTAGAGTATCACAGATATGGATATAAAACTAGCATGGAAAACTAAAACATTTTAATTAAAGCAGACAATACAATATAAAACACGGGCTATAGATCGTCAACAACTGAAGGTAGATCACCATACTAGGAACCATGGGGATTTACATTTCTTTTGCTACCTGCATGGACCCTAGTTGGTAATCTGAACTACCAATTATTAAACTTTCTCTTTTTACAAAACATATATCAAAATTCATTTAACAAATCAATGATAAAATGACAATTAACGTTATTAAAAAGGTCCTTTACTACATGGTTCCTCCAAGACTGACGCTTATTCTGTTTAAAAGTGCGTCGAGCCTGGGCATTTAAAATTTTTATCTAAATTATGAACTGTATGATGTCGGCGAAAATACTTTTCAGCTTTCTTCCTACTCTTTCTGGCCTGTTTACAGTCATTAGTAAACCATGGTTTACGAATATATGTGGAATTACAGAGGACTTGGGTATAGTTTGGTCAGCAATGTCATTGAGGATATCGGAAAACAATTGTATAGGATCTTCGCTGTTCGCAAATACCTCATGTTTTAAGTGCCCAACACACAGAGCCTCATATAATGACCATTCAGCTCTGGCAAAGTTCCTTCTTGATGAATATGGATCATCACCAGGGTTAATTGTTTTGAGAATGGTGGGGAAGTGATCACTCCCACATAGGTCATCATGGACCATCCATTCAAATTTATTATATACGTTGGAATCGGTGAGTGATAGATCCAGGGAAGAATATGTTCCCGTAGCTGGATGTAGATCAGTCATCATTGCAAATACATAAATTATTATCGGAAATGAATTCCCCCAAAATATTACCTTTGTTATTAGTATGGGCACTTCACCAAAGCGGGTTGTGTCCGTTAAGATCGCCCAAGATAAGACAAGTTTTCGTAAGTTGATCATATAGATTCTGAAGATCTGATTGTTGAATATTAGAAGAAGGAGCTATATACAAGCTGCACAATGTCAGCGCAATGTGCAAAGTCAGACGAACAGCAACAGTTTGAAGATCCGTATTTAGAGTGACAGGGCTATGAATGACGCTCTGATGTAGAAGCGCCTCAAGTAGCTTTATCGCCTGGAGGGGAAAATGTATGATAATCACTATACCGTCTTAAGTTAAATTTATCAGTATTTGTAAGATATGTGTCATGGAGACACAATGCTGATGTTTGAAGATCTTGTACGAGTAATTGTATTTCATTGAAATTATTCTTCAGTCCTCTGCAATTCCACTGAATTAGATTGGTCAATTGATTCATGGTGGCTTAATTGGAGTGAGTCCACGTGATTGTGAGGAGGAACTATTCCTCCGCCTGTTCTCTGTCCTGTGAGGACAGAGTAACCTCCATATCTAGAGGTGCAAATGTGTTCTGAGTTGTAACCTGAGAAGATGAAGGGACAGTAGCTAGTTTGTCTCTATTTAATCTCTTTCCTTTCTTCTGTTTTGAATTATCAGTGACTGGTTTAGAGACAGACGTTTGAGATTGTTGCTCATGGTGAGTTTTCGCTTGTGAAGCAGACGTAGATTGTGTGACTTTGGGAGCAATTTGAAGGGCTGAAGCTGAAAAGAATAGGTTTATCTGATTTTACCCAAGTCACATCGGTCTGCCATGTGATGGAGGACGTTGCTACAGAGCGAGTGACTGCAGCAGAGTAGGTCAGGTTTGATGGAGTTGAAGTCTGATTTGTCAACATCTTCTTGGCCTCAAGGTATGTAATGTTGTTTTGACATTTGATTTTCAATGTTTCTGTTTCCCGTTGATACATGGGACCGGACCTGGAAGAAGCGAAATGGGCACCATTACAGTTTGCGCATTTATAGTCTTTCTCACAGTCAGAACTCTCATGTTGATCACCACAACGATAGCATACTGTAGAGTTTCGACAGGATTGCGATCCATGCCCGAAGTGTTGACATTTATAACAACGGAGTGGACTGGGACATACACATCCACTCCGATGCTGAAATAACCTGCTTTAATAGACTTTGGAAGAGAGGAACGGTCAAATGTCAATAGATAAGTGTTGGTTTTCACGATGATTCCGTCTTTCTTAATTGTGAAACGTTTCACTGCTGAAACACCATGATCCTCTAGCTCTGAAGCAATATCCTCCTCCAATATATCAGCCAGACAACGGGCTCTATGTCGGATGACGCCACAAGAGTTTAGTGTCCTGTGCACAGACGCAGCAACCTCTATATTTGCAAATGCCGTGATCGACAACAGATTGAGAGATTGCTGTCTCCGTGCACACTCCACAAGAAGCGAGCAACTACGGAGACAGGTAACATTTTTTACTTCTCCACATATACCGGAGATAGCCTTTGAAATGGCAAATGGATTTAACTTTAGTGGAAGAAAATCTGAAGCTTCAATTACCAGAAAACGAGCCCAGGAATCACTATTAGATGATATATGTCCAGACAATGGCTCTAAATCATCTAAACGTCTTTTTTTCATTTCTAGATGAAACAGATGGTGGAAATGCCATGATGAAAGGAATATTATTCAGCACCCCTGCTCCCCACCCACTATGGAGTGTTAACACGGACAGTGTCAAATAGCACCGGATCTCCGAAATGCTGACACCAGGGATAAAGGGATGTTATACTCCAGAGATAAAGACATGAAAAGCTATGAAAAATTAAAAGGATAAATGCCAGGCTGGTCCGGCCCATGACATTATTCCCAAGAATCACAGAATTCAGATGTTTAATATCACAAGATTGGCTCATGAACCACCGCCTTCTGGCATAGGACTCTGGGCAATTTAATCTAATAATATTTTGAACATTGATAATCAAAATATCCAAGACCCAAAAATGAGTTCAATGTGCATACATATGTACTATGCACAGGGCTTGGCGTGACCAGCCGATTGATAGAACCGGGCCAGTTCTACCACCCGTCTAGTCGAAGTAAGGGGGAAAGTGGTGTGTTGGGCAAAAGGAACACGGTTCCAGGCTCCCAGTGCCCTCAACCACCAGACTCCCGTCCTCCACCGACACAGGGGCACAACCCACGGCAAACAGGTTGGTGGACCAAATATTCCCCCGGGTCCACACCGAACTCTTAGCGTTACCCAGCACCCACCACGAGGAGGTGGCTCTTCATGGGTGCCCAACAATATTTGAGGTGAGTCCGGCCCATGAAATGAGGTAGATAGAATCTGAACGTAATCTACCGGCAAACACAACATTTCTCATCCTCTGTAATGTCCTTTTCAGATGTATTTTCTGAAAGTATGACAGGTTTCATACGATGAGCAACTTTTGTCTTCTTGATATTATAACTTCCAGTCTGTTGCAGGCCAGATGAAGAAGCTGTTGCTGTTTTCGTTGGCTCTACCAGTGACCAGGAAGTTGTGTTGAACATTTTTTCTCTCTTGTGGAGTCTTCAGTGATGGCCTTTCTTGACACAACTGTGCCGATTGTCCTTCTCCTTTTTGTAACCTTCTGGACTTTGATGTCCAAGATATTTTTATGGATTAAACTTCTTTTTTAATTTCTCTCACAACGTTTCGAGACCATTCCAGGTCCCTTCATCAGGTGAACTGGCAGTTAGGACTATGACGTCGTCACTATGACGTCATAACTGAGTTATGACGTCACAATGCAAGTGACATCACAGTACACTAGGGAGAGTACTGTATAAGTGAGTTTGAAGAGTTAATTACATAATGATGAAATTCATGCTAATACACAACAACTGCTAATAACACAAAGGTTCCTTGATAGCAGGCTTTCCAAAAAAGAATAGTAGACTCGTTTTTTCTTGTATCTAAAGTTCATCAAAAGTTAATCAAGAGGTCCCATGCACTTGGCAGGTATACACCTTGATCACGATTAATTGCTGGTTTATGTCTCCTTATCTCGACAGCTTCCTGTAGTTTTCTCCGACGCCAGTCATTGTTATTTCTCGAAATCACCCTAATATCGTTCCACATGATTACATGACTTGGGTTATTTGCCTTGTGCTCCGATATAGCTGACTTATCATTTTGTTTGCATACTGATGACTTGTGTTCAGCAACCCGGGTGTTAATGGGCCTGAGAGTCTCGCCAATATATTGATCACCACAGCTGCATGGTATTTGGTATACACATCCTCTAGGGTTGGGGCTTCCATTACTAGATCCTCTTCCATTTGCCCGGAGGAGTGTCTTAATTGCTGTACCGCTAGAGAAAGTTACATCAAAGCCCGCTTTGCTCTTGATTAGTCGGGCTATCTGATGGCTGACTGGTCCCACGTAGGGTATTGTGATCCTGATCGGGGATGGTTCAGGCTTGAGGCGCGGTTCTGATGGTTCAAGCGTTTTGGTGATAGTCCTGGAGACAAGACGGGCTGGGTAGCCATTGAGGACAGTAAAGGTTCTCTTGAGGTAATCAATTTCACTGTTTAAATTATCTGGGTGACAGATCGACTTGGCTCTTCTAGTGAGAGTAGCAATAATTGCTTGTTTGATCTGTGGGTGGTGACAGGAGTTGTAATTGATATACTGATCCGTGTGAGTTGGCTTCCTGTACACAGAAGTGACGAGACCTTTGTCTGTAGATTGGAGGGCAACATCTAGGAAAGGAAGTTGCCGGTTCTGCTCAGTCTCCATTGTAAACTTTATCCTCGGATGCTGGTTGTTGAGGTGCTGCAGTAGCTGTGCTGGGTCATCTTGCTTGTCTATGGTAGTGAACGTATCATCTACTTTGCGATACCAGCACAAAGGTTGAAAGGGTGCTGTGGAGAGAGCAGATTCTTCAAAGGAGGTCATATATATTTCAGTGATAAGCGGTGACAATGGTGAGCCCATAGGCAGGCCATGTATCTGTCTATATATCTTGTCATTAAATGTGAAATAAGAGAAATCAAAACAAGTTGTAGCGAGGTTAATGATGCTATTTATCGTGAGACTGGTATCAAGTTCTTTGATTCGAGTCTGGAGCTTGTTCCGGAGAATTTCCAGGGCTTCTTGCAAAGGGATGTTAGTGAATAGGTCAACTACATCATAGCTGACCATGATACCGGAAAGTTGATCTTCTTTCAACTTGCTTATAAAGGCCGATGAATCGCTGATGAATGCCTTCCCATCTTTACCTAAGGGTGCCAGGATGCGTGAGAGGTGCTGCGCAGTGCTGTAAAAGACAGATCCTCGTGAACAGACAAGTACCCTGGCTTTTGGTGGGTTCTTGTGTATTTTTATGGTTGCTCTCCCATATGGAGCTTGAGAGTTGATGGGATTGAGCTTATTAAAGACAATATCGTTTATCTCTCTGTTTTCGTGAAGATCCTTGAGGGTCTTCTTATGCTCACGCTCAAGTTTTGCAGTGGGGTCTTTTGTGATGATGAGATAGGTTGAGCTATCAGAAAGGCTGTTGTTTATGAGCTGTTCGAAGTCTTGTGTATCCATGATAACAGCTGCTTTACCTTTATCGGCTTCAGTGATGGTGATTGCTTTATCTTGTCTGAGTTCAGCAATTGCTTGTCGTTCTTGCACAGAGAGGTTGCTGCGTGGCCTGGGCGATTTCTTGATGGTGTCTATAATCTGGTGACGTAGGTAATCCACGTTGCCATTCGGTGCAAGTTGTTGGAGACCACTCTCTATGCTTGTGATGAAAGCATCAATGTTTATCTTAGCACTCACAGGTACATACTTTAATCCTTTGGCAAGGAGCGAGGTCTGGGCTTCTGTCAGATTGTTACTGCTCAAATTCACAACAGTCTTTATGCCAGTCTTAGCAATCGTTGCTTTAGCGTGCTTATGGACTGGTTGTTGAAGCTTGGATAACTTTTTGATGTGAGTTAACTTTACTTTCTGATTGAGCTGGTCTCTAGAGGATTGTGATAACAACATGGTCTTGTGATAGAGGTCTGGTTGGAGGGTATCTTCTAGCTTGGATATCATACTCTCTCTCTGTGCCTCGAGGTCTGACTTGCGTCTGCGAATTTGATGGATCTGATTCTTGACTAACAGGTGGCTAGCTTTATGGAGAATTTTATCTACAGCTGGAGAACGGTGAACAGGGGATGAGATTTGTAAACCCTTAGGCACAAGGTTACTGTCTCGGCAACGGAGAAGGAAAGTTAGCTGGTTGCTAGTTTTAACACACTTACTGACTGTCTTGTTGTACTCGTTGATGGAACAAACCGCATCATCTCCATGCTGATGTCGTATGATGTCTTTCAGTGGCATTTAGAAGTTGTACATTGATGTCCAAGATATTTTTATGGATTAAACTTCTTTTTTAATTTCTCTCACAACGTTTCGAGACCATTCCAGGTCCCTTCATCAGGTGAACTGGCAGTTAGGACTATGACGTCGTCACTATGACGTCATAACTGAGTTATGACGTCACAATGCAAGTGACATCACAGTACACTAGGGAGAGTACTGTATAAGTGAGTTTGAAGAGTTAATTACATTTAGTTCCTCTTCCTGGGTGAGCAGCGATGGTATACCGGACTTGACAACTTCAGGGTTCACATAACCTCTGACTCTGTTGCCTCAGGAATTAAATACAAATGTCATATTTCCCTGCTGTTCTACGGACAGATGCACCATCTTCAACAACGGAAAGGTAGGCATTGGTCATCGCAGTTGGAGAGTATGGTCTGTAACGTACAGCGAGCCTAGATGACAGGTCAGGACTTGTGCACACATTCTAAAATAATGAAAACATTATTGATAAAAAAAATTCAACACATATGTACACAAATATTAAAAGTCATATTCATGTTTATCAAAATCTACCCCCTCAAATTATTTTTAAAAATTATCAACATCACTTAGAGATAAATTGTTTTGTTTTTGTTTAATATCACTTTGGCTGAATAAACAAAAGCATATTTTCGCAATTCATTAATTAACACTATTGACTCCTACAAAGTCATTATAATTGCTTTTACTTTAGTCAGTAACCTTTCATGGAAACTTGCTGTAAAGTTATAAGGAATATGAAGTGGGCTTCCATATTTTTTTCCCGGGCAACACTCCCACCTATAGCTACTGGCGTCATGACATTGTAGTGTCAGAAGTTACTTAAGCAGACGACCGGTAGATCGGAGCTGTCATGAATGAAACTATTTTTCATGGCTAATTTTTGTCCCGTTGTTTTTGCATTAGTGCGGAAGCATAACGTTTGTTAGAAATCTTTGGGTAAAAAACTCACCTTTTAAGCGCGTGATGTCCTCATCGTGACAGCAGAGAAACGAAAACGACTTCTTGTTTACAAACACGAAATCTGACGTCACGGCTTTATGTGTACCGACCGCGTGAACCCGGAAATGGTAGTTGCGCGAAAATAGATGTCCGCTACGCCAGGATGTACTTACTGATATGCAGACTCGGCATCATGATTACGTGAGCTGAAACCCTTGTACGTTTCAAATGTGATCGATCCTCATTCAAGATACGAATATTAAACCTGGAGATGTGATTACATCTCCCCGTCAAATAAGAGTGAGTGAGTGAGTTTAGTTTTACGCCGCACTACGCAATATTCCAACTATATGGCGGCGGTCTGTAAATAATCGAGACTGGACCAGACAATCCAGTGATCAACAGCATGAGCATCGATCTGCGCAGTTGGGAACCGATGACATGTGTCAGCCAAGTCAGCGGGCCTGACCACCCGATCCCGTTAGTCGCCTTTTACGACAAGCATAGTCGCCTTTTGTGGCAAGCATGGGTTGCTGAAGACAATAGATGCAGCAGATAAAAGACAGTCAAGTGTATGTATATTTGTGATCTCTTAAGTAAGCTGTACATAGCCTTTGTTGCGTTTTCAACAATAGATCTAGATCTAATTCGTGTTACTATCCTTTTATTTCGATGAAGTGGTTTTTTGAAGCTATACAAAAAAAACATGTTTTATGCCTAGATAAATATATGCATCAACTATTTCAATATTTTTATCTCGATAATTAAGGAACAATTTAGTTTTATTTGCCGTACCTCCACCAAATATCACAACTTTAGTCTTAGTAATATTGACTTGTAATTTCTACAGTAGTTTTGAAACGCGTAAAGGGATTTTGGTAAATCTCTATCATCAGCATAAAGGAGTACGTGTACAATTTATAAGTAATTTAATCCACACCAGTACTTCTTGATCATGTGTGGAGTCAACACTGATACCTTTGCACCCATTTTCTAATAGATAATTTTCGAGGTCAAACAGAAGGTGTGATAAATTCTCTGAAGCACACCTGTAATCGTTTTTTTAAAGGACATTAAAACAACTAGATTATCACAGGTATAATATAAAACTAGTAATTAAATCTGAAATATTTTAACTATAAATGACACATTACAATATAAAGGTTACAGATTGCCAACAACAAGGGACAAATCTTCCAGAGATACCAGATTTCAGTACCTTTGTCCACAAACCACTTTTCCAGGCTGTGTCAAAGGCTTTTGTGAAATCTACAAAAGAGGAATATAATTTTCTTTTTCACAGGGTCGAAATATTAGTTAGCATTTGAAGAACAAAATTGTTTAACAACTTGTTTAATCACTTTACAAAATGGAACAGCACTGACGCTCGCCTGGACGTAAAATCAACAATTTAACAAAAGTTCCTGAAAGCACTTGTATTTTAATATGTCTGGCAGTTATTGAGAATACAATTACTTTACCTGTATGCAGATATATAACGTCAACGTCAGAGAAGAAGCAGTCTAGAGTATCTAGCACAACAGGTCCTACTGGATGTCAAAGGCAAAATGGCTCGACTCCAATCTGCAATGATGAAGTTTATAAGTCAATGTAATTGAAATAAATCGAGTTGTTTCATATATGCTAATAAATCTGATTGAATTCATAAACTTCAAAACGTTTGGAGGAGCACATACCTTTTCATTCTAGACATGTCCATTTACTCTTTCAAAATATGTAAAACATATTACCTTAATTATCAAGTAGTAACAGGCAAACCTCTTCAGGGAGTTTACGGAATGTACGAACAAGCCACTTCTCGAGTAACATTTGATTCTATTTTTCCATGTGCCTGAGGGCGATTCCAGCCATACCGTGATTGTCTAGTGTTGCAAATTTTTAAATATACGTAGACACTGTGGTCAGACCATCTATTATTTGTAACTACCCTTGACACATGTAGAAACGAACTTCCATCTGTTCATGCTGTCTTGTTATGTCATATGCAAAGACACAATATGCTGCATATCTAAAATACATCTTTCGTCGTTCCAGAAGGTGATTAAACATCAACACTGAAAACAGCAGGAACTATGATCCTTCCAAGCAATGCGCTCAAATTATGTGTGTGGATGTATGTTCTCTTTTTCTTTGTAAGTAACAGTTAAATGTGGCAAATATACCAACATTTATCATACTCAGTAAGTGACAGGCAGTTGGTTGAAAGAAACAATAAGCTTTATTATTTTTATACGTTGTGAGTGCACAAATTCTCATGATCCACCTGTCAGAAAAAAGGTTTTTGAAACTGAATGAAAACATATCCTGACTCATTCCAAACCCAGTACCTCACCCAACACTATTCCATCCCATTCCATTCTGAAATGGGTTTATTGAGATCAGATCAGATGCATTTAATTAATACATTTTCGTTCACTTCAAATGGACACCCTTTTTTGTTTTCCACAGGGGACCTTTGGTAGTGCCTTAGGTCCATCCTTACTCGATCTCAAGGATCTCTTCAATGCCAGTCTTTTAGAAACGTCAAACCTCTTCCTGGTACTTGGTATTGCTGAAGGTACAGGATGTCTTGGGTCAATGGTTGTGTTGAAGTTTGTTGATGCAAACCTCGTATTCATGGCCTGCCTTCTACTCAAGGGGATATGCATATTTCTGTTTGCCATGACACCACATCTGCATATAGCTTGTGTGGCCGTTGGCGTTATAGGGGTAGCAACAGCATGTGGCTACAACTGTGAGTATATAATTATAATTCTTGTCAATTGTATTGTTCATATCTAACTAGAGTAAAAGAATTAGTATCAATCGGTTTCCTAATAGCTGGTCATTAGAAGGTGTCTTATAATGAGAAAACAGTTATCAGTGCTCTGATGGTATCAACAATCTGTTGGAAAGACGAGGTGTATATATATGCATATCTTGCGCGACTCAAGTCAATATTGGACAAACCTTGTCTTGTAACTGGACGACACCAGCTCGACATCTCCGAAGGTACAACCATCCTGGACAGGGACAAGGCAAAACGTGAAAGAAGAAGTCACAAAACTGTTATTAACTGGGGTGGAACTGCGGACAATCGAAGGCACCTCAAAACAAAAGCTTCGGACAAAGGTGTCTCGTCAGTTTTGGCTGGCTGCTCTTCCAGAAGAAGGAAACCTCTCATTCCATAATCCGTTGCTTGTTCATACAATGAGGTCATGCCTCAAATTTCTCTTCATCATTTAAAAACTTGTAATTGTAACAGTGTGAGCGAGACAGGTTTTCAATTGTGTGAGATCCAGAAATTAACTGAATATTCTAATGAAGCAACTTCTGTTCCTTTTCAGGCGTCGTTCACTTGTGTAACCAGGTGTTCCCCGGGCCTTCATCCATTATACATGGAGTGTTCGTAGCCTCATCTGTTGGAAGCATCGTCAGCCCTCTTATTGCAGAGCCATTCCTTAACGCTCAAGAAAGGGCATATATAATTTCGCCCAAAAACAATGCAACCTTACAAGAGAACGATTTTTCAAATCAAAGCATAAATTACTCTTATGCTGCCACACCTTTGACAATCTCTATATCACTGGCAGGGGACAATGATTCGTGTCAAAATTGCTCAATGACAGATTCCACCACGATTGCTAAAAAGTCACAAGTGTACATTGTCTTCATAATAATAGGCTCGTTTCAGTTGGTAGCACTTCTGGGATTCATTATATCGTATGTTTGTGAGAGAAACAGTAATTCGTATAAGATGAATGAAGAAACAAGCAGCGGTTATCACAACACAGAAGTGGAACAGGAATCAGGTGGTGGACTGAAAACTATAATATTTTATATATGTCTAGTTTCTGCGTATATTCCTTTTGGTGGCTTACCATTTGCTTATAGTGGTTATCTCTCTGTCTATGGTGTTGAAAGTTACCTTCATCTCGATATCAGGACTATGGCTTCCCTGACATCTGCATTTTGGATGCTGTTCACAGTTGGCAGGATTCTTGGAACTGTTCTCAGCTTGCGTATGAGACAATCAGTATTAATTTACACTTGTCTCATTGGGGTGTTGGTGGCGTCGGTAGCAGTGCTGTTTTTGAGTACGTTTGGTGAAGTTTGGCTGTGGATTGGATCCATGGCAGTCGGCCTCTTTACTGGCCCCCTTTTGCCGGCGTCATTGGCCTGGTGCAGGACCTGCGTTACTTTGACACCAGTAGTGACTGGCATCTGCACGTTTGGCAACTTCACTGGTATATTTCTATTGCAGTACATTACAGGTCAAGTGGTGGGCTATTTTGGGGTGGATTGGTATTTGTATTTCATTATATTCCTCTCCCTTTTTGAACTAATGCTATTTGTAGTTCTCACAGTGCTAGGTAACTGCATTAAGTAAATAAGAATCTATATATAGGGACTATGAACCGAGTGTTTATGGTTCCTAAATGGCATATACTATGGTCAGAATCTCTTTTGGAACCAATGCAGTTTGTATTTCTCACTGTGCTTGGTAACTGCATGAAACAGTGTATGTCCGAATGGCATACTAATATATAACGACCAGAGGTTGCACGATGCTATTGGTACATATTATCTTCTGTGTACTCCTTACTATTGGTAGTATCTATCTGTATTATATTCCTGTCCCTTATTGAACTAACTTCGTTGTTCTCACAGTGCTAGGTAATTGCATTAAATAGATAAGAATCTATATAAATATGGACCATGAACCGAGTGTGTTTCTGCATCCTCAATGGCTGACACTAATACTAGAAGTTGTATTATGTTAGTTTGTGGAAGGGTAAGCGCACAAATGTAATAATCACATTATGATAATGTTATTCTTAAAGTAACTCATGTTAAGGACCTAAATTCAAACGAAAATCACATTATTTTGAGAACCATCCTATTATCACGTAATGAATTTGAATACAGCTATGTTTTTCAACAGAATATCCAACTGTAATGATAGACAGACAGTAAATTCGGTAATTGTTGGGGATTTGACCAATAGTTAGTTTTAACAAAGTGATGCGCATAGAACAATACCTTTTGTCGGAGCACTGGAGATATATTTTATGAGTGGTTCAGTTAACTTAGTTAACAATATTGTTATCTATCTCCTGTAATAGAGAAAGCTGAGAAGATGAATTTGCTGAAAATGTACAACACATCTTATGTTGTAGTAGTATAGAGCATATGTGAAGATCTTCTTTTAAAGATTGTTGAATAAAAATGTTATCCCATTCTATATGTAGACGTTGTTCACGTCGAAAGCCACCTTGGTATTCTCCAACGATGTCACTAGTGTCTACAAAATACTGTAATCTTGAAAGAAGTTTGAAAACAAGCACTTTGGGCAAAGTATTCAAAAGAAAGAGAAATGCCTCTATCAGTAATGAGGTGATATTAGGGAGCCAGTCTTAGTTAAATTGACCTGTTTTCAAAATGTGTATGTACAATATCACAATGAAAGCTGGTAGAGCATTTATTACATATTCAAGTAACTTATTTGATATATCGTCGTTGCACGGGGATTTATTGGCAGTAATTCTCTCTAGCATTAACTATTTCAAACTCTGAAATGTCTATTAACGAAATATCATCACTATTAGTACAAGACAAGTAGTGTCTTCATGTTTTATCGTTGTTTTAGAGACTTAACTGTTAAAATCACTTCAGCATTTTGATTGATTTACCCATACGCTGGACCTAATGTTACAGTTATTGTTTGTTCGATTGAGATTTTGTAACAATTTTCAAAATGATTGCTTCTTATCACATATCAAGTCGTTTTGATTTTTTTCTTTGTTTTTTGTACCTAACAGGGTCCACTTCCGTAGATGTTTTCTAAAGCAATTAAGTGCCCTGTATGTAAATGTAATGGTATTGGCTTGTTCACAGTTGTGGTAAAACCATTTAGATTTGCAAAGTTGCTTTGGCACGGTGGCCTTGTTAGCAACTCGGAGCAACAGGAGCCTACTATTGATAATGGTTCTATCACTGCAGCATCAGTATCAATATACAGTGGAAGCCCTCTAAACCGGCATTAATTTATAATATAAGTGACACGTGTCACTCAGCAATTTACCTCACCTATGCCGGTTTAGAGAGCGTTAATTACATCATGCCAGACTTCGTCAGATGGTCAGTTTTGTTGACAAAGAATCCTGTGTCCACTTATATTTAGTTCAATCAGTGCGAGCAGCATTGTTCTTCCTTGACCAAATCCAAGCCCAAGCGAATCACACCATCCTTTAAACTACATCAACATCCTTGAAACCAAAGTTTCAGACTGCAAAATGAAAAACGACTAAACCCAACATGTATATATTCTCCGTGTGCGCGTGTATCAGTTGCTTGATAACGGTGTTAGCGTCTACATCGAAAACTCGCATCTATTGCAATGAAGAAGCTATCAATTAAATTTGTTGCTCTTCATCATACCAGCTTCTAAATGCCACTTAAATAAGAAAACAACATTTATGTTACCTTGGTATATGATAAGGGCAAAGATACCAAGTTTGGTGTCTCAGACTGACAATGGGTCTCAACAAACAGATACCTTAATTAGCAACAAGATGAAAGCAGCTGTGAAATTATGTATATGTTCTATTTATATGAATATACTAATCCTGATCATGTCTGTTTATCATAATAAAATCATTAGCGAAATCCATAGCTGGTAGCAGCACGACCTAAAAGAATATTGTTGCTATGAGTCAATATTATCAATGTTAATTTCGGGTGTGGCAATCACTTGCATTTCGAATTTAAGGTTGTGCATGTCAAGGTGGTTGTTTCCAAAGTACGCATCTATTCAACCACCTTGACATGCACAACCTTAAATTCGAGATGTCTTCAGGAATATTAATTGAAAAATGCAGCATGTATTGCATATATTCACTTGTATTTTAATTATCTATAAATTACATTAACCTTTTCCCGTTGATATATGCATGAACATGTAAAAGTGTATTCCTAAATAACTAGATTAATGAACGAAAACTAAAACTGTATTGTAATATTGCCTTAGTTGTTTCGCAAAGAATGTGGCTTTGTCGATGTAACATGACTGTCCATGTCCCAATAACTGTGATGTTTATTTCATTGTATCTGAATCTAATAAATTTTCGTCTCGCTGCGTTGATATATTTGTGTTCATGAAGCGATCCAATCAGAAAACATTTTCATGTTAGCAGCTGTTCTCATTAATTTTAAAATTGATTGTCAAGCATTATTCCAATGATTAGATACCTCACAAAGTGCCCTGACTGCTATTCCAAACGGGATTGAAATGTTTGATCTTTCCTTCATCCGTGAGTATTGCTTACACATTTCGTCGGCACTGCCTGTTTGAGGTGAGTTGAAATTGGGTTTAACGTCGTACTTGAGAATATTTCGTTCATATGACGACGTGCATGCGTGTGCATGTGTATGTGCGGCTGCTTGTACTAGCCCAGACTTAAGCTGGTTTTATAGTGCTAGCCCACTGAAATACCATGCCGCAGTGAAGCTTTTTAACTGACGGAATCATGGCGGTGATGCAATTCCAACGAACTAAAGGTAACCAAATCCCGAATATCGAATGTCGGATCGATATCAGAAGCTTTGTCCCTACCAGATTAAGAAATAAATGTATGAATATGGTAATTATTTCACATAAAATGACATAAAATGTCATATAAGATGGACCTGCATTTCAGTGACCGATTGTTAACAGACACAATATACTGACTCCGAGCCGACCAGTCCTTGTTGTACCCATTAATGCCGAGCGCCAGGCAGGGACCAACAAGTACCATATTTTAACGTCTTTTGGTATGACGTGGTCGGGGATTGAACCCGGCGACCTTCCACTCTCCGGGCGGACGCTTTAACCACTACACCACGGAGGCGGTCATCTAGTTATAGACATCATGAGCATATATCTACATGCATCAACCAAGTCAACGAGCCTGATCACCCGATCCCGTTAGTCGTCTCTGGCAGTCATTGCATGTTTGAATAGTTCTCAAGTAGCCTTAAGCTTGCATATATGAAAACCAACAGCATCTCATCTGGAGGTAGGGCCTGTTCAAACCACAATTTTCATTCAGAAACATTATTGACTACAATGTTCAAATTTCGAGTGTAGTTTGCCAGCTTGGAGAAATACAATTCGAAAATACCCCCTGAAATGTCGAAAAGTAGTTTAGTACGTAGCACATGTCTACAGATATTAATGGATAATGCAAATAAAATAACATAGGTTTTGGATTTAGGCTTCACGTTTCATGTTCATGTACGAGAGAAATAGATTAATTATTAAAGCATTGATGTTTCTAAAACTACAACCATTCCGATGTCTCTTCCAATAACAAAGGTATACATCAACTTTCAGTGGTAACACATGCACATCATATTAACATGCGAGTTTAATATTGCCTATCATGGATATCACATTAATTTCTACTGTTAAAATCGGTCACTGAAACGCAGGTCCATCTCGTATGTCATTTTATGTCTAAACATGACTATTGGACGCACATGTATGTGAAATGATTACAATATTCATACATTTTTTCTTAATCTGGTAGAGACAAAGCTTCTGATATCGATTCGATATTCGGGATTTGGTTACCTTTTGTTCGTTGGAATTGCATCACCGTCATGATTCCGTCAGTTAAAAATGTATGTCAAACATAACAAAGAAGATAGATGCCTGTATATAGACTAAAATATAGGCTAAATTAAAGATGTGGTGAAGAGTTTAAGACACATATAAATCGTTAACATTTCTTAAATGTGCCAGCAATTTAACACAAGTTGCTGGCAAAGAATGAAGAAACTTTAATTAGCCTTTTCAATGGAGACAATATATTACTTCAACATATGTTAAACATTTCTATATTTACATCATATGTAATCCAAATTGTGATAATGCGCAAGTCCAAGCATTCATGTTTTGGTACATCATGTGCAAACAAAACAATTAGCTTAGCTGCATGTCTGAAATAGGTTTTCTGTCGTTTCTACAGGTAATTGATCTTCAACAAAGACCACTTCAGCAACTATGAAACCAAGCAACGCACTCAAATTATCTTTGTGGATGTATATTCTCTTCTTCTTTGTAAGTAACAGTAGCCAAACATGGCAACTGCATTAACTTCTAGTGAGTGAGTGAGTATGGTTTTACACCGCTTTAGCAATCCTCCAGCAATGGGACACCAGAAATGGGCTTCACACACACTGTACCCATGAGGTGAATCGAACCCGGGTCTTCGGTGTGACGAGCGGACGCTATAACCACTAGACTACCCCACCGCCCATACTCGGAGTTGGTCATTAAAACCTTACCATGCCAAGGTTTTCCTTATTCTCCTTTCAGAGAATCAATTCTTGAAACTGTGACTGAAAACATACCCTGTATTATACCGGCCCCATTACAACATCCCATACCACTATGAAATGGGTTGTTTTAGCCAAGAAATTCAAACTGGCTTTCAATTTCGATCAATTTCCTTCCACAGGGGACCTTTGCTGGTTCTTTTGGACCATCTTTACTCGATCTCAAGGATCTCTTCAATGCCAGTCTTTTGGAAACGTCAAACCTCTTCCTTGTACTTGGTATTGCTGAAGGTACAGGGTGTCTTGGCTCAATGGTTTTGTTGAAGTTTGTGGATTCAAACCTAGTACTTGTGGTTTGCCTTCTACTCCAGGGGACATGCCTTTTTCTATTTGCCATGACAACGCATTTCATCATAGCTTGTGTGGCTCTTGGTGTTACAGGCATAGCTACGGCGTGCAGCATAAATTGTGAGTAAATTGCATAAATTTATCATTTCATTTAAATTATAATTATACTTTTCGCTAAAACATTGTGTTTTCAGTATCATCAGTTATTTAATTTAAAATGATATCTGAATTGCACAATGGCCTTTTCCTTACTAGCAATTTATTTTGATTATGAAAATGGTTGCCTTGGCTATATAGCAGTGTTCCACTGCCAGTGCCTCCATTGTGTCAGAACCGGAATAACATCAGAATGGTTGATCTGGGTGCCTTTCCAACTTTAGCATGTGCCGCTACAGCTCGGAGTGCAAATGTGTAATCGATTAACGTGGTGTTGACAAACGTTCAACCATTTAGCATGGAATTAATCCCACTACTGTTCTTTTGCAGGTGTTGTTCACCAGTGTAACGTAGCCTTCCCTGGACCTTCGGCCATTATTCACGGCGTGTTCATATCTTCATCTGTTGGAAGCATTGTCGGTCCCCTTATTGCCCAGCCTTTCCTTACTGATCGAGAAGGGGCATGTCGAAACTGGACAGAGAACAATGGATTCTTGAACGACAGAACTTTTTCAATACAAAGAATAAATTACTCTAATGGTGGGTTTCCTTTAACATCGAACATATCTATTCCGTTGACAAGGAATAATGAGTCCAATCAGGATTACGCAGTGACGGCATCTAAGTATGCTTTAACAAATTCCTCCACGATCGCACAAAAATCACAAGTGTACATTATCTACATAATAATAGGCTCGTTTCAGTTGGTAGCACTTCTGGGATTCATCGTATTGTTCATTTGTGAGAGAAACAGTAATTCGTATGAGAAAAATGAAGAAAATAGCAGCGGTTATAACAACCTAGAAGCAGGACAAAACTCGAATGGTAGACTTAAAACTATCATATTTTATGTATGTCTAGTTCCTGCATATATTCCTTTTGGTGGCTTACCATTTGCTTATAGTGGTTATCTATCTGTCTATGGTGTTGAAAGTTACCTTCATCTCAGTACGCAGAGCATGGCTACGATGACATCTGCATTTTGGATGCTGTTCACACTTGGCAGGATTCTTGGAACAGTCCTTAGCTTGCGTATGAGACAATCAGTTTTAATTTACACTTGTCTCATTGGGGTGTTGGTGGCGTCGGTAGCAGTGCTGTTTCTAAGCGAGTTTGGTGAAGTTTGGCTGTGGATTGGATCCATGGCAGTCGGCCTCTTCACCGGTCCTCTTTTGGCGGCGTCATTGGCCTGGTGCAGGACCTGCGTTACTTTGACACCAGTGGTGACTGGCATCTGCACGTTTGCCAACTTCACTGGTATGTTTCTTTTGCAGTACCTAACGGGTCAAGTGGTCGGCTATTTTGGGGTGGATTGGTATTTGTATTTCATTATATTCCTGTCTCTTTTTGAACTAATGCTATTTGTTGTTCTCACAGTGCTAGGTAATTACGTGAAATAAATAAGAATCTATATCAATAGGGACCATGAATCGAGTGTTTCTGCTTCCTGAATGGCAGATATTATGACCAGAAGTTCTGATATGCTCTCTCTTTTGGAAACAATGCAATTATCACGGTGCTAGGTAACTGTATAAAATAATGTATTTATGAATGGAATATATTAGGATCAGAAGTTGGACTATACTTTTGTCATAAGTGATTCAGATGGTATGTATCATCGAGTTCCCTTTCTGGGTATTCCTTACTATTAGCAGTGTCTATCTGCATGTGGTGTAATGGATGTCTTTGTGTCGTTTGAATCCTACGTGGGTCATACGCTAAACTAAGGCCTTCCTATTGTATACTGGAACATTTTGGCGTTACTCTGTTATACAGTTTCTAAAATGAGTTAGATATTACACTTTTCCACACATGATTGCAATGTTCAGGAGAACTCACAAAGCTGTTGTCTCTGCCGTAACCAAACAGAGTAAACAATATTAACAATGTAAATGTTTTAAAATAAAACTTATTCATAACGTATTGGCTTTTTACAGTTACATTTATATTTTACAGGTCAATTTGCATTTTTGCAATAAGGTCTCCTGGTGATTGCCCTGCTTCAGACAATCACCTTCTTAACAAACACTGCAATTGGTTCACTAATGGCAAAAGCTGAGATTGCATGGATCAAACCTGAACATGATCAAAGCTAATTTAGAGGTTAAGTATCGACATTTCAATCAAAACTTATTCTTATGTCTTCTGAATGAACGCATGTGGAAAATTAAACCCGAGTTGCCATGGCCATGAGCTAACGATTTATATACTGTGCTATCCACTGCTCTTTTTATCCAACGGAGAGCGGAAGGTCGCGGGTTCGATCCCCGACCGCGTCATACCAAAAGACGTTAAAATATGGTACTTGTTGGTCCCTTCCTGGCGCTCGGCATAAATGGGTACAACAAGGACTGGTCGGCTCGGAGTCAGTATAATGTGTCTGAGTGGGGAATTTATGCTTCACTGCGGCATGGTATCTCAGTGGGCTGGTACTATAAAACCAGCTTAAGTCTGGGCTAGTACAAGCAGCTGCACATACACATACACACGCATGCAGGTCGTCATAAGCACGACGTTAAACCCAATTTCACCTCACCTGACCTCACCTGACCTCACCTTTCTATCCAAACTGATGTGTCTGTGTCTTGACATTTTATAATGTGGTGGATTCAGAACAGTGTCAAGGGCCATCGACTAAAAGCAGGCTGTCCGACAAGGTTACATGATTGGTATATAATCGAATCTGGACCAGATTATCAACAACTTTGTTGCTAAATACTTTGATACAATGTATATGAATGTTACTTAAATCTGCCTGAAGTTCATATAATCAAAATCGAGTATTAAATAGTATTACACAAACATACGGACGTACATATACTTGTCTTACCTGTCCAATCTATGTTATGCGCAACTAGCGGTACATGTTACTATCATACGTATGTTCGTCTGTACATTTTTAACAAATGTGAATTTTGATAGAAATCTATCTAAATATTCGAATCTTAGACTTCACGTATGCATACACATATTCATGGATGCTTACACCCTATACGTTTTCATCTTATTAAGACCTTAAGACCTTACAAATTTCATCTCTTCTTATGTAGATTGTATTAAACTTCATACTGATATAATATTTTCTGACTTGCCGTGTCATCAACCAGTTTTCTGTTACCTTAATCAGATAATCATAGTAGATAATGCAATGTTTGACTTTTATTAGGCCAAGCCTTATAAACCTTCATATTCTAAACACGTTTCAAATTCCCACACAAACAAATCAATAGTGTAAATGTTTATCTCTTTGCACCAATAGATATCTGTAATGCACAAAGTCATTTATATGTAATTTGAATAAAATACCTTTAATTATTGATATATTATACCAATTAGAAAAAGAAATTAATATTTTGTTAATTGTGGATGTGTACTGGCATTACATGATACATACATGCAGTTACAGTTGAGCAGTTGTTCTTCGTAAATATCATCATAAACAGAAAGTAAACCAACCATTTCACATATCTACACTAAATGATTTTGCGGTTATATTTCAATCATATCAGGATGGAACAAATAATTATAAATCGATTTGCATCACCCTCGGGACCCGTAACATTTTATGCAATTAATATTGGAATGGCTGACTAAACTGGTTGAAAACACATTCTCAATACAAGACAACTTTAGAGCTGAAAATCACATGCTTTTGGTAATGTTAATAAAAGTTATTCGTTTCTGCTTTAGTGACCTGACTCGCAATTTTAGCCACGGATTTGATTGATTATATTCAGTTGATAGATATGATGACGAGCTGATTTTGATCTGATTAGTGTTTGTTTGTTTGTGTTTGTTTGTTACAATGCCGACATTTATATAAACCACAATATTTGTTTTATCCAAACATACAACATTGAGTGAGTAAGTTTAGTTTTACGCAGCACTCAGCAATATTCCAGCTATATGGCGGCGGTCTGTAAATAATCGAGTCTTGACCAGACAATCTAGTGATCAACAGCATGGGCATCAATCTGCGCAACTTGGAACCGATGACATGTGTCAACCAAGTCAGCGAGCCTGACCACCCGATTCCGTTAGTCGCATCATACCCAAACATACAACAAAAGCCCCACTTGTTTGGGGAAGCGTATCATTTTCGTTTGTTTGTTAACTCAACAATAAGCCAGCTATATAGCCGCTGTGAAAAAGTAATCGAGTCTGGACCTGACAATCCAGTGACCACCAGCATGAGGATCGATCTACGCAATCGGGATACGATGGCATGTGTCAACCTAGTCAGCGAGCCTGACCCAGTTAGTCCCCTCTTATGACAAGCATGGGTTGCTGAAGACCCATTCTAACCCGGATCTTCACTGGTTGATCCCGACTGACAATACATCAAATCCTTTGAGCACGTTTGTACTGTATATTCCGAGCACAGATTCCCATTTCGTCTGTTATATCGCAAACTAACAATCTGAAGTATTATTGATGCGAAAAGACGTTTTCCCAAAAAAGAAGACCTTGAGACAGCTTAAATACACCAATTTCCTCTGAGCAGCACAAATACTTTGTAATTTTATGAATATGATCTCAATGTGCAGACAACCATGTAATCGTTAGCAAAGTAACTGATGGTACTCCATTGTAGATCAAACACAACATGTTACCATGAATGTATCAATTAGTTTATGCAACTACCGCTTGCTTCCGGCACAACGCTTTCAGTCGTGTAACAGTATGAGTTATGTCAAACAGGACTTAATGAACGCATGTACAATTCCACACGTCAAGCATTCTGAATATTATTGCATTTGTTAATTGTAGTTGAAGACGGCGCAGTGTTTGCGGTAGTTTTTATACCCGTGCGGGCAGAAATAAAATTACATGTATGTAGTTCAAATCTTTTGCGTCTGAAATTTTCATTACAATACCATCATTATCATAACACATAATTATAATCATAAGCTTTAACTTTATAAGCTTTAACCAGTGTTTGAATATAATGAACGATCATTATGTGAATATAGTTTGCCTATCATGTACCGTGTGTTGAAGTCACTTCCTGACTATCGACGATCGTTAATAGTGATTTTACATATCGATCCTATTACTGATCATATTAATATTTGCAACCTGGGCTTTGATTGGTTGAAATGACCAACCTCTTGGGAATTCCTTCGACAGTAACCAATGACATCCTGTGTATGTGATTAATTATTCCCTTGTCCATTTCATTATATATTATGGCATATGAGTGACGTAGTTTTGGCGGACAAGTCAGTTAAAAGGAGGATAAGACGCTAACCTGGGCGAGATTATCCTAAATATCGTCACAACTAACGGATTTTCCGATAGTCAACTGTAAAAGACCTATGACTGCTAATGATGTCGAGTGCTAAGACATAAACGACTTACGTGGAGAAATATAATAATATGATGTTATTGTTATGTAATCCGTGTATGTATCAAAAATATTCTAGTGAAACTATTTGTGACAATTCTTATTGTCTATTTGAATGTCGATTATATTCAGTGTAGAGAGAAGTGTCTAATTATGCAGTATTGTCAATAACAATATAAACTGTAAATCACAATCTGTGCGTGCAAAACACGCACGCAAAATATGTTTTGCGTGTTTTTATTATTTTTTTGCGTAAAAAACGCAGGTTTCTGCGTTAACGCGAACACTGTCAGGCGAGGTGCATGGAGAAGCAAACGCGTTTTGGTTGTGGGGTGTTTGGCTAGAATAACTGCATGAGTGAGTGGGATCGGGTGGACAGGCACGCTGACTTGGTTGACACATGTCTCCGTTTTTCAATTGCGCAGATTGATTCTCATGCTGTTGATCACTGGATTGTCTGGTCAAGACTCGATTATTTACAGACCGCCGCTATATAGCTGGAATATTGCTGAGTGCGGCGTAAAACTAAACTCACTCACTCACGTGTTGAATTGGAACTAAAGGTAAGCATCTCCTCCCCTACTCACAGCACCCGCCATTCACACAATTTGACAAACTTTAATAAATAGTTACAGCCCGACGCCGCACAGCAGTACTGCCATGCGATGGCTCCCGGTAAAGAAGCCAGACAATCAAACAGATAAGTCTATAATTATTAGTAGGGTAGCGTGAGTGAGTGAGTTCAGTTTTTACGCCCATGTGGGAAATCGATCACGGGGCTTCGGCATGACAAGCGAACGCTTTCACCACTAGGCTACCCCACCGCCCAAGGTAAATTGGTTTAGCACAGATAACAGCTGTGTATACGTGTGGCTGTTTTACCAGACTGACCCACAGGCTAAATTAGTTTCATGTGAGCAATCTGCTTGTAAAATCCACCAGAGCGGTGAAGAACGGCAGATGCTTGAAAAAAAATCTAGCATTTATCCGACGGTTTGCAGTAGAGGGAACACAGTAAAATGCTGACATTGTTCCAGTGAGTAAGTTGATTTGTTACGCCACTTTTAGCAATATTATTGCAATATCGCGGCGGGGGACACCAGAAATGAGCTTCACGCGTACCAATGCGGGGAATCGAACCCGGGTCTTCATCATGACGAACGAACGTTTTAACTACCAGGCTACCGCACCGCTGATCGTTCCAATGAATGTTAGTCAGAGAAAGTAGTGTATTCATCATGATAAACCGGAACGAGTTTTTATTCACTGTTGACAACAGTGTACAAATCGGAGAAACAACATGGACAGATACATGGCTGTCAGAAATCTCATCCCAATTCAAATTCGTTGTACCAAAAGGTTATTTCAGACACCTGTGTCAGTGTCATGAAAGCACAAATGTCACCCTTGTCAAAAATGGAAGGAAAGCTAAACAGCCGTCTGTACAATCTACCATGTCATAAATTCCTGAAACGTATTTTTCCGTCTGACATACTACGTCCATTTTTCGTGACAAATTCAGTATT